TCTGGGACGCCGATGACCTGGTGGCCCTGGGCTACCTGCATGAGCCGGCCGTGCTGCACTCGCTCCGCCGGCGCTTCCTGGAGGCCAAGGCCATCTACACCTACTGCGGTGAGCCCCGCACACCCCTTCCCGCTCCCCGTCCTGTGCCACTTCCCCGCGGCTCCGCGGGACCGGTGCCCCTGCTGCCCCGGCCCCGGCACGGCCTTCTTCCTCCAGGGATCATCCTCGTCGCTATCAACCCCTACGAGCCGTTGCCCATCTACGAGGAGGAGGTGATCTATGCCTACAGCGGCCGCAACATGGGGGACATGGATCCCCACATCTTTGCTTTGGCGGAGGAGGCGTACAAGCAGATGGTGAGGTGAGAGCATCAGCGGGGGCATCCCCAGGGTTGCAGTGGGGAAGGGCTGAAGCCCCCTCTGGACCGTGGCGTGTCTGTGGAGAGCAGTCCTGCTGGACCGCGGGCTGTGGCAGCTCACGTCCCCTCATCATCAGCGGTGAGTCGGGCGCAGGGAAGACTGCGTCGGCCAAGTATGCCATGAGATATTTCACCGCCGTCGGGGGCTGCCTAGGCGACTCCAGCATGGAGGAGAAGGTGCTGGCCTCCAGCCCCGTCATGGAGGTGGGTCCCACTGGGCCCCCAGGCTCTGCGTGGGGATAGCTGGGGTGTCCGTGCAGGCTCTCCCCGTGCTCCTCACGGCCTCTACCCCTGATGTGATGCGGGGTCTGTCCCCCCTGTAAAATGCATGGCAGGGACTGAACTTCTCCAGAGCACTTGGAGATCTGGAGCCAGCTAAAGCCTCCTGCCCTCCTTCCCCGCCAGGCCTTTGGGAATGCAAAGACAACCAGGAATGACAACAGTAGCCGCTTTGGGAGGTACATCGAGATCGGCTTCAGCCAAGCGCGTGTCACAGGGGCCACCATCAAAACCTACCTGCTGGAGAAGTCCCGTGTCACCTTCCAGGTGGGTCTCAGGGGTGGCGTGGGGACAGGGCTGAGTGGGAGCCCCGTCCTCGGAGCAGGAGGGCGCTTCTCCTGGGCATCCCCCAGGGAAGCAACCCCAGCGCTGCTGAGGTGAGCTGGGAGAGGGGACCGTGCCCCTTGTCCCCAAATCTGGGGCTGCAGCACTGCTGCAGGGGAGCTGGGTGGCCCGAGGTGACCTGGCTTCTTGGTGATTTTCTTGCTCATCCGCAGGCGAAAGCAGAAAGGAACTACCACATCTTCTACCAGCTCTGTGCCTCGGCCACCCTGCCGGAGCTCCGGGGCCTGGCTCTCTGTGAGTGCCCCCACGGCGGAGCTTGCTGCCGTCCCGTCCCAGCTGGCTGGGTGCCGGAGGAGGCTCCGCTGCTGATGGGCGCCCGGGACGGGATAAGGGCAGTTGGGAGCCCCGTGGGGCAGGTTGTGCTGGTTCACACCGACGCATCTCACCCGCAGGTGGGGCAGAGTCCTT